AGTCTCACTGAAACACAATTTACTATTCTTTTCATTGTAACTAGATGATGAATGGTATTCCCTGCATTGACTAGAATTCAGTAGAAACTGATTATTTAGAAGGTGAGATGCAATCAAACTCGCTTGGAATACACCGATAACTGTGGGCTTGTCTCTGTACTGCCATCAAATGTTAGCTGCTTAGATGTGAAGCAGCAAATCAAGGTGTTTTTCATACTTACAAATAACAGAAAACCTACTGTGGTGAGAGCTGTCTGCAAGCCAAAATTGTAAACAACAATTTACGTCAATGTTACGTCCCGAATCGGGGTCATGAGAAAAAAACAATAACAAAGCCTAATCTTGAGGAACTCACCAACCAATCACAGCAGACTTAACGTGTGCAAATACGATTCGCAGATATATGGCTTAACTTTCTAAGAAACAGTCACAAGCAGCACAGAATAACCTTCAGCAAAAAAAAAAACCAATCAGAAAAGGTTGCTTCCCGGTTACAATAATCCTAATAATAATGCACATAAAATCTATAAATATCTCTTGATTTTCTCAATAAACGATCTGTTGCCTGGTCCTTGTCTTCTGTCGTTACACTACTACATAGAAACGCGGGAACGTACTACACATTTAGCATTGAATTCGCATACATCTCGCTTAATTATTTCATTGCTTTTCACTGTTTTCCACCTGTCTGTTACCCACTGTTAAAAATAGACTGGTGTATGAGCTTTTTGTAGCATTAACTACTCAATGTCGTTCATTTTATAACTTGTTTACTATGTAAACACTTATGTGCTTGCTTCTCTGACTGTTATGCGGGAGTTCAGTTCTTCCCAAACAATTTGAATTATTATTACCGGTTTAGCAAGATGAAGAAGTGCGTCGGTGGCCGGAGATCAAACCCCGAACCGCATGGAGCGTGGTTGGTGAGCATTCTACCGCTGTGCCAGCACTGACGCACTACTTACTTACAGCATAACATTTATCTTTTTGAAATATTAAATTATTTGTTAAGCGTTCAGTTTTTATAGATATCTCTAAAATCAGTCTTAAATGCATAAGTTAAGGCAATCTTAAGCGCAATGATTGTGATAAGTTAACCTATGCTTTATTAAGATTAAGGTGAGTTAATAGGAAGTCACCCCACAGAATATATATATAATCCATTTTATCATATGAGTACTATAGATAACTAAAAAGGATAACCAAACTTAATGAAGATTAGAAGCCTCGTTTAAAAACAGTACTTTTATCATTTCAATCAATTTCTTTCCCTTCATGCATTTGGACAAGAACAACAAACTGATCAGGATAATTCGATCCTATTTTATGAATTCTCGTCAACAACATACAACCTAATACAATTTTAATGACGATATACAAAATATTCACATACTCTTTAGCTGTATATACCAATTTACATGTACGCATCAAAGAAGGTGGATCGAATGAAAATTAATTGGTTACAGGATTTCATCATGAGATGACATTGGTTAGAGAACAATTGGAAAACCTGCAGGGAGTACTGGACAGCTGTTTTGTCAGCCTAGTTTGGGACTCTTCACAGTACGCACCCATCGCCAGGGTCCGAATCCAGGACCTTCTGGTTACAAGGCTAGCGAGCTCGTAGACCATTAAGCCACTCACTGGGACCCGATCCAATAGCCAGCCCATGAATTCCAACTTCTGCCAATTCACGACATAGCGCGACTACTAGCCAATGTCATCGTTGGCGAGTATTTGTCCTCACACCTAACCTAATGCACCCTACTGGTCACGACTTCCCACTAGAACCCCAGGTAACTACCTACCTGAGAATAGGGCAAGTCGCCAGTGAGCATCTCATCAATCAAATCCCTACAAACCAACACTTGAAAATTAATTGGTTTTGAGAGTACAGCTTTTTTGTCTTTATCCATACTCAACTTGAATATTTAAACTCTAGTTAACTTATTATCTTTGAACCATCCAAATGTATAATTCTTGCATAACACATGCACTAGTAATTTTGCACAACTCTAATCAGTGTTAAATTTTCGCTCCTAACTTTTCTGTATATACTAAACGAGTTTACTAGCACATCTAATTCTTTCCTTTCAATTCATCGTACTTAGTAATATAGTAATTAATGGTTTCAACAGGCTGCAGACCTGTATCAACAGCTGCCTTCGCCATCTTTATACTCAATATCAAATGGTCAGAAAGAATTAGAAACAAGAAACTCTGAGAACGAAGCAATCAATAACCTATTGCTTAATAGATATCCCGAAGAAAATGGAGGTGGATAGGATATATGCTTAGGAGACCGTTGGATAACATCGCTCGCCAGGTTCTCGAGTGAGGTGTCGAAGGGTGACGTGACGAAGATCGTATGAGGAGAAGATGAGAGACTATGGGCAATTTGGGGGGCCAGCTGAAGAAGATCGCAGAGAATAGGACAAAGTGGAGATGTTCTGTTAAAGCCATATGTTCCACTTGGAAACCAAGGGAATAATTATTGTTATTATTACTATTATTATTATACAAGTATTAATCATCGATGTCTACGATCTCTTTCTCACGTTAGGTGGCATAATAAGGTAAGTAATGTTGACGTTAGGCATAGAGTGTTGGGCAAAGAGGGAAAATCAATCGACGAGGCTATAAAGTTACATAGATTGAGATGGCTAGGTCACGTGCTGCGCATGCCTAACCATTGCCTCCCCCTCCCGAGGGCATTACTAGCTGATATAGGTGCAGGTTGGTTGGAAAAGAGTAAGTGGTGGCCAAACAAAAACATGGCCTCATCAATCCATGAAATCCTTGACAGTTAAGCTGAGTCAGGTAGGGAGACGAGATGCAGACTTCCGGGTTGGGGCCCTTGGGACTCCAAGAATCAATGGCTGGAGACAATAGGTGACATGGCTCAAAATCGTTGTCAATGGCTTACGCAGATTGATTCAGTCTCTGTAATCTTTCATATTCCTTTCTACCATTACTCTTTCTGTTTCACTCTTATACTTGTCAAAACTCTATTGATTCTCTTCACTCATCTTCTTGTCTACCTTTGTGTGCTATTTGGAACGTGGCAACTCGAACTGCTGCAATTCGGTGCCAAGTTCTATCTTGAATCCAGACAGACATCGCCATTCTCTACCTAATTAATTAAAGTACACATACATATCTTGTAGATTGATATGAAAATTACGTTAGGTTCTACACGGTTGACAAGAACCAAACGAATAAAATGCGATCACATATTATCCTTCTCAATTCGTTGTTCATCGCTCCGTTCGACATTTATAAACGTTATTACACAATATACTAAAATGCAGTAATACATTATTCAGTTTGTAGTCTGCAGGTTACTGAGGTTCACTTGGTTAAGCAATGAATGCAAGTGACATACATGAATAAATGCCCTTTAAATATAACTCCTTCAAAATATTTTACCACGCCTAATCTTAAGCACGATTCCCGTCAAATGATTACTATGCGGAAACGTTTATACTCTACACAATAAACTTTAATGCATCAACATAATAACAATAGCAATAAGGTTGATTCTAATTAATTTATTCGATCAATCAACATACTACCACGCCTATCAACTATCGCTAATCTTCACTGGCGGAGGACAATACTGAGAGTAAAAATTTGTGTGTGTCGAAAGACTAGTTCGCGCGCGATGTATGTTTTACCTAATGGGATGAGTGCATCACATTGAAGAAGCAAAGTTTAATAAAGTAGTTTTCGTACATTTTACAGCACGGAAACATTAGTATGTTGTGACGTTAACAGGGATGAATTGTCGGAAAAGGAATAAGGTGAAACATTTGTCCACACAAAACTTCAAAATCAGCATGAAACAGACTATGAGTTACATGGACGGCGAAGTTCAACAATAGTGTCCCAGGAATGTGAACGCTTCAATGACCTTGAACGCATGGTAGTCGTTGACTCACGGCATCTGTTATTATCATAGATCAAATATCAACGCTATTCACCGACTTAGGAGCAAATTTCACCCAGATCATGTTTTTAAATACTGTTTGGACACTGTGTTAATAACTCATTAGGGTTAGGATTAGGGCTAAGGTAAGTATTGGGGTTAGGGTTAGGATCAGTTTTATAATAAGCATTAGGGTTAGAATTACAGTTTGGATAAGGATTATGATTAGGGTTAGGATTAAGGTTAGGGTAAGTGTTAGGGTCAGGATTAAGCTTATGGTTACGATTAGGGATAGATTTATAGTTGATGTCATTTATTTTAATTTGTTTTATTATCCACGTTTTCCTGGTAAGTAGTCGTTTGTTCTCTTGCTAGAAACCATAATAATTCATCTGAGGGCTTTTTTGGTAGACTGCAAGCACGATGAGAGAGATAAACGATTCACAAAAGCAGTTTATCTGTAGTCATCTCCATGAATACATGTACAGAAACTAGTCTAACTTAGCAACTGATACTCCTCGTTATAACTAGGACGTATTTTAGGCCATATCACAGAAAGATAACCTGTTTAATGCGTTTTCAAGCATTCTCTTGTCAATATACATCGTTTTTTTTGAGCAAACATTCCTCATTTTTATGATTCGTCGGCTGAAGGTCACCCGTGAGTTCGCACTTCTGGGACGTTATTGTTGAACTTTGCCACATCGATTAAGTGAGGTCTGTGTTACTAATTGGCTGTCAGAACTTTAGTAAGTGCGCTGGCTTCTAAACCTGTGACTCACTTATCGAAAGCTAAGAGTTTATATTAAAAAAGCGCCATAGATACACCCGTGTGAGACATATCAGCTGCACTGAGCTCTTGTATGGTACACCGACTGTAGTTATAGTGCCTTGTAGCATTACTTAACTATTCCCTTTGATTTGTCATTGGAAAATAATGAGTGACAGACATACAGGAAGAAGTATCAATGTAAAATATTTACCCCCCCCCCCCATCGGTCAAACACATGTCACAGTTTACAAATTGAAGGTTGAAATAAGTTTAAGCTGACAGTAACGTTTTACTATAAAGCTATTATTGATCGAGAAATCAAAAGTCGTACGGAATTTCAAAAGTCATCGTTATAAATTTAAAAAATACAAGAAAGCATTACAAGGAAAATAAAGTTAGTCACTTCAAAAGAAGTGAGAATCTGTACATCACATTATTTCTTTGTAGGACAAAACTGTGACCGTGAATTTACCTAAATAGTGATAATCAAAATTGAGACAAATTTACACTTACATGTTGGCGGTTGTTCACAGTCGGCTGTAACAACACAATTTAAGCCTAAACTACGCAAAGCACCTTTTAAAAGTCCAGAAGGAAACGCCAAATACTAGAGAGAAAGTAAAAGGCTAGATGTTGTATAGACTTACTTTTGGAATTTCTGCAACACTTTCTGGCATAATTTCAAATTTCAATAAAGGCTGAAAATCGTGAACTGTCAGAACATAAACATCCTAGAATTGCAAGTTATGCGAAAAATTTTCACCATTCACCTGATAGTTTGTTTTCAATGTATCAACTTGTTTATGGTATACTGAAGACCAAAATTCTGTGCATATATACTTTACAATATCTAATTCATTGACAAATCGAGCATGATCTTTTGTAGCTCTAAACGCATAGTATTTTTTTTATGAAATTTAACAGAAGAACAAACTTTTCAATCAGCTTTTGGCTTACATTAACACCAAGTGATTCAAGAAAACGAATGCTAGAATCTTGCATCTTGAAGTGTTAAAAAAGGTATACATTTTGTTTAGAAGACATACGTCATTTGAAACCGAAGTAGAATAGTTGATCACTTCAAACATTAATGCATCGAATGCGTCAAATGCTGGTATTTGAACATTCTTCATTTGCTAGGCGTAAGAACAATGTTCTCTTAAAAACAAACTGTAGTAATATCAACTAACGTATTCCTGTAGAAGATAAGACAATTATGTTATAATCGTACTGATAAAAACAATAAAAATGTCGATTACTCTTAAATATTTGTAAATATTGGTGTTTAAAAATGTCTGCTTGAGCCACCCGACCGATAACTGCTACCTTGACGTGGTGGTCGGGCTTGTACACCGCAATGACCCAACGAGCTACACTGGCTGGAACTTATGTTCCTGTAGGTCCTACCATGCCAGAAAGGTTGTTTGGATAGCGGTTAGACAAAAAGCAGCTACCCAATACAATACTATGATTCAAACAAATTCACAAAATATCATGCCGGATCGGTCAGGGCCCGGATTAGCAACAACCGCGCTTCCTGCTGCCGTGTCACAGGGCAGAAGTGATAAATAAGCTACTGAGACACATCAAACGAAAAGGAACAAACAAAAACAGGCCACGTGTGACCGACCTCAAGCAGTTGTCCCCTGGGCTCTGCGGTCACGCAACACTAACCTTTTCTCTATTTCAGGTACCCGAAGACTCAACCAACTTCCACGGTGTGGGCAGCCGGGAAGTAACAACCGCCCACACACTTCCAAAAGCACAGGAAGCCTTCGAACTGCCGCACATATGTGCAAGGTTCTATGTCGAAAACAGACAGACAGACTGCTTGAGCCAATAGTGATATGCGAAATTTAAGAATCACAATACTCATAGTTTATTTTTCTGTAAAATTTCGCCAGCGAACATCCAATCAAATATATCACTTTTCATAAAAAATAGAAATTTCGAAACAGGAAAGTGGTAGTTGACATTGGAGTCCAGGGTGTGCATTGAAGCTTGACTGAGACTCCTCAACAGGACATATCTACATCTGTGAGAATTCCAACTGACACGAACCCAGAGCCTGACCAATGTTTTAAAGCATCACTTACTGGGTTACTGTGCCTTGAAAGTCACGAGTATCGCATTTTGACCACTATACTTCGTAGCTATTATGTAAGCGCTATTTGATTCCAGGTGTAAGGGCACTACACATGGGATCACTGTTAACAGGGATGGACAGACAAGAGTCAAGAAGCATTGTGAAACTCGTAGTGGATTTTATTGGAACCTTTGTCAAAGTCACAAGTGGTTTTACGCACCGTCTTCATTGTGTTTTTTAAGTGCAGGCAGTTTTCGTGTGTACCTCCAATAACTTGTCTTCAGTCTAGCTAAGTTTCATATTTGGCATGTTTAGAGAGTAGTTTATGGAGTTTACATACTACGTGAGCTGAAATATGTGGTAGTAATCCAAATCACTTCACACAGACCTACGAGACTCTGACATGCAGAATATATTAACATTAGGACTTTCAAGGGTTTTGAAAATGGATGAAATGAACGAATATATGATTGAGGATATGGTAAATTACGAACCCAGATGTTGGGTGTATTTTTCGTCAGCTTCTCGCTTCATATTTCATGTGACGGCTGGTATACTGACCGGATGACAAAACCAAATCAGATGTTGTTTTAAAGGACCAATCCTCGAGCATTCGACTTGGAGTCTGACGAGACAGAGAAACAGTGAAAAGAATAAATATGTCATGCTCGTCAGTATCCCAAACAGGTTCTTATGGCATCGCTTCCTTCAGGATGCTGGAGACCATGTACATTATAAGTTTGGAATCTAAACCCCGTGAATAAATGTTCACCAGCCAGGTGCTGAGTGCTAGATTTTGTCATTCGTGCTTCCATCTTTCTAAGAATACCCCCAGCATGTGAAGGCAAGGAAAAGGACGGATCTAGCAGAAACTAGGTGGCCGTATGAAAGCATTTTGAGAGGAAAACCAGAGTCTACCTATTATCAACCTTACCAGGTTATTTATATAATTAATAGGTGGCTGTAAGCCAGTAGGTTCAACTAGTATCACTGTTGAGGTGATGGAGATAATACTGGACAGGCTGACCAATCAAAGGAACAATTTATAGAAGGAGAAACAGGATGGCCCGATTACCAAAGCTGCTATTTAAATAACGCTTTTCTAGACAAGTGGACTGCACAAATGATACAGTAAGTGTGGGTATGTAGTTGACTGAATTTATCAACGCGTCCTTTTATTTGACTTCCAGATATATAATACAATGCAAGCGTACATAAGGGAATACTACCAAAAATGAAGATAAAGTTACAACCACAGTCTGTGTGACGATGTTAAGCGTATTTAATTTGTCATTTTTCCCATGTTGATGAACTGCTAAATATGCTTAGCGGGTTGTCACTATCGTTAAGTGATGTGAAAGGCTATTTGTTGGAAGGACGACACCGATGATCTTTAGGCAGACCCTGACAAGGTGATATAAACCAAATCTATCAAAAATGTACCAAGAACAGATAGCCCGCAGAATACGGCATGAATACATTGTTTTTACTCAGTGACTGGAAACAAGGTGACTATTTACTCATCTTAATGTACATTTAGAAGACAGAAAGGAATTGCAACGTAGCCACAACCAAAGAGTTTCGTATGTTGCGGTAACTAAGACATCAGAACCTAGGGTGGTTTTCTTTAGCATACTGTGAGCAGGTAACTGGTATATAGATTTCTACAATAAAATCAATTATTACATGCCGTCAGCCCTCCCCAAATCACCTAGAATGGGTGACATCACCAGTTTTTCTATTATTTTGAGTTCTCAGTGGGATAAAGATGGTTACAGCCTCACGCCCGGGCTTTTTACCAGCTAAGCAAGATAGTGAATTTTAAGATTGACCAGCTCCTCATATGTGAAACAGTACGTAAATGTTTTTACTCAAAATAAGTGGTAGCCACGAAATAACTTGAACTAAAAAATCATATGACTAGTCATTCGGGCAGTGTAAGTTCCTCTTTAAGGTTGGAGTTAAATTAGGGTTAAGAGTTTGCAATTAAAAGTGTTCTCTGAGCTGGTTGGTTTAGTCGCGAAGCTTTCGTCGTCCTTCCGGACAACATCTTCAGCGCCATATTTAGCAAAGAGTGAAGGGTTACATTCAGGTCAGCAGCTAAGGTTGAGGGTTAGATTACTGGGCTTGGTATAACCACAGCACCAACGCTGATTAACTGATCAAAATTAGGAAGGAAAGTTGCAGAACTGTTAGAATTATAACGATGGACTATGTTGTCCTGAGATGCATCTGCGTTTCTCATTCTGTCCGTGAACAAACAATTGAAACCCATGGGTTTTAAGCCCCTCGAAAAACCAGTTACTCCCCAAATCGCAAATTCCGACAGGTCTTGATGTCAAAAAGATGTGAAAATGTTTAAGGAAACGCAACTATTTTCCCGTATCCCAGAATTACACCGAAGTTTTTCTTCGAATATCTACTATTTATTTAAGTCTGTCAAACCTTCCAAACATACGAGCTTTATTCTGATTGTTTACTTAACGTCATTTGGTGACTGCCTTAAAATTCAACACAACGGCACAATAATGTCCCAGGAATAACAATAAAACAAGTCGCAACACAAGATAAATAGAGAGCTATTATGAGAAAAGCGATATAGGCAGATTTTGATTGGCTGTTGGCTAGGTGGCTTCTTATTGGTCTAAAATATAAGTAAAAATGGCAGTCTCTTTATTTTGACACGGAAAGTTACAGTCAGTTTAAAGTCAGTCTTAACTTACCATAATATAACGGCGTGTTAATTTTTTTGGTGTGAGTGTAGTGTGATAGTCACACGCTATTTGGATGCATTTGTAGTATTTAAAGTAAATTGAGATATATGGGAATGTCTAGTAAGTGAATATAAGTTAACGATAATTTTGATGCATTTATTTTAAGTCCAAAATAGGATGTATGCATTTTTTGTTACTATGGGAATAGAATTCAATAAAAATTGCTAAACGTATAATGTGTCTAATTTTGGACATGTAGATATATGTATGTATTAAGTGATCTACTTTTTTAAGTTTTCAGTTTAGTGACCTGTGGGAATTGCACATACTAGGTCAACATAAATAAAGTAAGTTTCCTATGTCACAAAAGTGGTATATAAGCAATACTTCACGGAATGTGTCATCTATATTGTCTGATGTAATGTCTATATTCCAAAGAATAATGCTTAGTTGTGTATTTTATACGTGGGTGCAACTTAAGCAAGCTTTTGATACATTTATGAAGGTAACAACTAAATTGTTCATTATTTCTTTGAAAGGAATCCAACACATCCTAACGGCTTGATTCAGGTAAAAAAGACCCATCTGGCCCTATGGAATATAAGTTTGTGAGGTATGAATGCACTTTTGGAGGTATAGTTTAGTAAGCTTGGGACGCTTAAAATACCAAGATAGCAGGGGATATAACAGTGGCAGTTATGTAAGCGAACTTTTCTAAATGTAAATGCTGAGAATGTGATGAGCACAATGTTTCATCAACTGATATTTTATTTTGCTTATTTACAGGGTGCTACCAGTGGACCTAACTTGACAGATTTGCAGTGACATTGTACTACAGCTTCCAAATATAATTTCCAAATTTAAGCTCAAAAAAATTGCCACTATGTGCTAAATTAAGTCTTTTTCTTCTGAAGTTAAGATAGTCCGTACTGAAGATGAGCTCAAAGGGTTTAAATAAAGCCGATAAGCAAAACCAGTAGGTGCTCATCTACTCCTGAAAATGTCTACAAAAAGAACATGGTGTTGAATTAGTGTCAGTCATGCTGAAAACCAAAACTGAGTTCTAGACTGCGACATTAAAGAGTCTATTTAAGAAAAGATCCAGAATTTACTGACTGTAGAACGTTGGAATTAGTGAGATTTAATTCAGCATTATGGTAAGCTTGGGAGGAGCAGAACCTGGACTAGAAGGGCTGCAATAAGGCTGACAAGTGTCTTCTGATAATGCGTAGAATAAGAACAAGGTGCTGAATTGGTGCCAGTCATGATGATAAACCAGCGCACAGTTCTACCTTCAGCAAATAATCCGTAACTGTTCTGCCACTGTTTGATCCAACAATGGCAGAACAGGTAAGGCGTTTAATTACTGAGAAAAGTTACTATATTAGCATAGTATACGTGAATTGGCTCAATGATTGCAGATTTACCATAATCCTTAACTACCAACATAAAAACTGGGAACTGCAAGCTAAAAATAAACGTCTTAGTAGCATCCAGTGACAAAAAACTGACCTACATACTCCAAAACAAGCAAAACGTTCAAAAAAACCTTTAAAATTCAATGGAAAACGAATTCACGAAAACATATAACCAGTAGACGCAGGAACCCATCATGACCTTGAAACTGACTATAGCGTCTTTCCTATTATGACCTACAAAAGTAGCGCAAAACTTATAATATGAGGTAAAAAGTCATCTAATGTACAAGAGCTGAATTCCAGTCTTATGTCTCAAGGTGTGCAAAGCAAACAGTTAATCAGTCTTTATCCGTGATAATATGAGGTGCATTTAGTATGATCTTAATAAATCTCTATGTTATCTAGAAAGACGCTATAGTCAGTTTCAAGGTCATGATGGGTTCCTGCGTCTACTGGTTATATGTTTTCGTGAATTCGTTTTCCATTGAATTTTAAAGGTTTTTTTGAACGTTTTGCTTGTTTTGGAGTATGTAGGTCAGTTTTTTGTCACTGGATGCTACTAAGACGTTTATTTTTAGCTTGCAGTTCCCAGTTTTTATGTTGGTAGTTAAGGATTATGGTAAATCTGCAATCATTGAGCCAATTCACGTATACTATGCTAATATAGTAACTTTTCTCAGTAATTAAACGCCTTACCTGTTCTGCCATTGTTGGATCAAACAGTGGCAGAACAGTTACGGATTATTTGCTGAAGGTAGAACTGTGCGCTGGTTTATCATCATGACTGGCACCAATTCAGCACCTTGTTCTTATTCTACGCATTATCAGAAGACACTTGTCAGCCTTATTGCAGCCCTTCTAGTCCAGGTTCTGCTCCTCCCAAGCTTACCATAATGCTGAATTAAATCTCACTAATTCCAACGTTCTACAGTCAGTAAATTCTGGATCTTTTCTTAAATAGACTCTTTAATGTCGCAGTCTAGAACTCAGTTTTGGTTTTCAGCATGACTGACACTAATTCAACACCATGTTCTTTTTGTAGACATTTTCAGGAGTAGATGAGCACCTACTGGTTTTGCTTATCGGCTTTATTTAAACCCTTTGAGCTCATCTTCAGTACGGACTATCTTAACTTCAGAAGAAAAAGACTTAATTTAGCACATAGTGGCAATTTTTTTGAGCTTAAATTTGGAAATTATATTTGGAAGCTGTAGTACAATGTCACTGCAAATCTGTCAAGTTAGGTCCACTGGTAGCACCCTGTAAATAAGCAAAATAAAATATCAGTTGATGAAACATTGTGCTCATCACATTCTCAGCATTTACATTTAGAAAAGTTCGCTTACATAACTGCCACTGTTATATCCCCTGCTATCTTGGTATTTTAAGCGTCCCAAGCTTACTAAACTATACCTCCAAAAGTGCATTCATACCTCACAAACTTATATTCCATAGGGCCAGATGGGTCTTTTTTACCTGAATCAAGCCGTTAGGATGTGTTGGATTCCTTTCAAAGAAATAATGAACAATTTAGTTGTTACCTTCATAAATGTATCAAAAGCTTGCTTAAGTTGCACCCACGTATAAAATACACAACTAAGCATTATTCTTTGGAATATAGACATTACATCAGACAATATAGATGACACATTCCGTGAAGTATTGCTTATATACCACTTTTGTGACATAGGAAACTTACTTTATTTATGTTGACCTAGTATGTGCAATTCCCACAGGTCACTAAACTGAAAACTTAAAAAAGTAGATCACTTAATACATACATATATCTACATGTCCAAAATTAGACACATTATACGTTTAGCAATTTTTATTGAATTCTATTCCCATAGTAACAAAAAATGCATACATCCTATTTTGGACTTAAAATAAATGCATCAAAATTATCGTTAACTTATATTCACTTACTAGACATTCCCATATATCTCAATTTACTTTAAATACTACAAATGCATCCAAATAGCGTGTGACTATCACACTACACTCACACCAAAAAAATTAACACGCCGTTATATTATGGTAAGTTAAGACTGACTTTAAACTGACTGTAACTTTCCGTGTCAAAATAAAGAGACTGCCATTTTTACTTATATTTTAGACCAATAAGAAGCCACCTAGCCAACAGCCAATCAAAATCTGCCTATATCGCTTTTCTGTTATCTATCTGCAGGAAAAACTAAACCCAGTTCTACCTGAGCTCTTCTTTTTCACTATTGATTATGCATATCATAATGACAGGCAAAAAGTTTCCATGTTATTTTCACTGGTTCTGACTTTATCCTAGATGAACAGATTTAAAATACGTATCCCTCCTGTAGTGTGTAAACTATACACCATAATTACATCGTATAGAGGGAAATATCACTTGCGGTTATACTTCATGTTTTTCCACAATCTCTTCCAAGTAACCATCGTTCGAGTGATATTTCTTAATAAAATGAAGACTTAATGCTCTTGAGTAGATCGTAGATTATACATGACAGTACAAGTGAGTTATCTCATCTGTCATGTTCAAGTTTTATATAAATAGCTCAAGGAAATGCGTTATTGTAATTTATACACTACATGGAAGTTGACACTATAGTCATCCTACATGTTCCTGAAATAGACAGCTGGCCGTTCTGCAAACCGAGAGTAAACTCGTCTTTTTCAGTGCTACATTTGGAGGAATAACAGTTCCATCACTGAGATAAGAAAATAGATCAGGGCATACTCAAATTTCATCCCTTCGCTTACAGAAGTTCGGAAATCTTTGCCTTCACTGAATGCTACCCTGTCTTTACTGCGTTCACATTTCCTAGCATTTTAAAACGTCATTTGTAAGTCGAATTGTATCAATATGTGACAGCTGAACTAAGAATAAAATCGCATCACTTGGATAACCATGGAACGATATATAACAATTCTGAAGTGGTATAAGTGTAACCTGACTGTGTCCTACAGTATATTCTTTTCCATTCGATTCTAAAAATGCCAAAATTCAGGAGCAGAAGATGGTGTAACTGAATACTTTTCCTCATGTCTGAGTAATTTCAAAGCTGAATATGAAGTAAATAATAAGGTCAAAAGAGGACTGCAACTCGTCCCGAAATATTAACAGCAGAACGCAGAGAACTGCCAGTGGACACCGATCCCTCCAACCAGAGCAGAAATCTTGAATGCAATCAGGCTACTGAAGTACGGGAAAACAGTAGGGCCAGACGGAATTCTTCTCCCCCGAAGCACTGAAAGTGGAAACAGATACTGCTGCAGATGTACTCATACCATTATTGCAAAACGTCTGAAAGGAAGGACGGGTACCTAATGATTGGAAGAAAGACTATCTTGTGAAATTATCAAAGGACCCAAGCCTTTGCAAGAACTGGCGTGGAGTTATGCGCTTGTCAACGCCGAGCAAATACTACGTCACATCATCCTGCAAAGAATAAAGGATGCACTGGATACAGAAGTCAATACCACCCACCAGAACAAGCTGGATTTAAGAAAGGCGAATCATGTGCCCATCAAATTGTAACTCTACGCAAAGTCATAAAACAAAGCATAGAATGGCATCCAAATATCTACTTTGATTTCATCGACTTCGAAGAGGCCTTTGATAGCGTTGACTGAGAAGTAATTTGGCAACTACATTAACAATACGGCGTGCAGTGCCCAGGTCTTTCTCAACCTCATCCAACAGCTGGTTATATGACAGTGCCATGTGTCAGGTGATCCACAAAGGAAATCTCAGCGGAACCCTCGGAGTCAATACAGGTATGAGAAAAGCTGACTACCCACTATCACCAGTGAAATTCCTAGTTGTGGTGGACTGGATCATGCGTCAGACTCTGGATATCAAGAAGATAGGAATACATTGGACCAATAAAAAGACTCTGGAAAACCTGGATAATTTATGTATAATGTCAAACAAACTCGAATTACGGGCAAAAAATAGCAAACTGACTGAGGTGGCAGGCAACGAAGACAGGACTTCAGACGAACACAGAAAGTGCAAAGGTAGTGAAGATAGCCGGATAAGTGAAATAACAACCAGCACCAATCACCATCAATAGGATAGGAATAAGTTCCTTTGCTCATCGAGGAAGCATTGTTTCAACCACAGATATCAAAGGTAGCCAGAATCGGAAAGGTAAGATAAACCTTCATTAGCCTGAAATCAGTTTACAAATCTTCTGCACTTCACTCAGCACAAAAGACAAGAATCGTATTTGCAACACTCACGTTAAGTCATTCAGTTCTTCGATATGAGTCAAAAACTTGTCGTGAACATCACCAAAAGCATTTCCAACTAGTGGATGAAGACTTTCTCCAACAACAGCCTTCGCTGACTCTAAAGTTAAGGTCAAATGGCCAGAAAGAATTGGCAATAAGCACCTCTGTGGTCAAACAAATCAAAGATCTACTGCCCAACAAATATTCGGAAGAAAGTGGAGGTGCATTTGACACACGCTGAGAAGACCGTCGAATGACAACGCACGCCAGGTCATCACTCGAGTGAAACCCGAATGGGAAACGACGGTTGGAGCGTGGGTCCGAGGAAAACATGGAGGAGATCATATGGACAAAAGATGAGGGATATGGGCAACTGTGCACCCAGCTTAAGAGGAGAGCAAAAGTCAGAACAAAACGGAGATGTGTTGCTGAAGCCCTGTGTTCCACTGGGAACCCAGGGTAAAGATAATAAGTAATATAATTATTGCTTTATTAGTCCTACACTGTTATGTGGTCACATGCACACGAACTAATTGTACCACTGGAACGTGCACCAATAATCCGAAGATTTCGTCTGACACTTGCATCGCCTCAGATCGCAGTGCACAGTGTTGGTGTTGTGAAGACCTGTCATTAAACATTTCGGTCTTCAGGAGTTCCTTCGCGTTCTGTCTCGTTTCTTATCATGAGGGCTGTTTGAATGGGAAATGAGACATAGCACTTTTGGCCACGTACTACTGGCCATCAACAGTAAGTCACACCGTTAAAGGGCGATGGTTTACTGCCTTCAGTGATCACTAACCTCTGACGTGCGCCTTTCACATCAACACGCATAGGTACACTCCGGCGCCTGAATTACGTCACTCAAAACTAAGTGTGGAAACTCACGATGGACAGCCACCATTTCTCTGATTTAAGTGACACTTTTGTCAGTGTATCACTGCAGTTCATTCAAATGTTGATTTCAGGAAAATGATGGAACTCCAGACGTCAGAAGTGGCTAGAAATAAACTTCACTAAGGTTCAGATCTTCTGTCAATGGTGTGGCTACCTTGCTATGCGATGTGTGCAAAGGCAGTGGTTCTGTCTTCGCT